ATGAGGAAGAAGTTGATTTTGTTCTTTAAGAGGAGAAATCATGCCCGTAAACAAAGGGTAAGTGTTAACATTTGAACAGGGCAAGTTGGTGGAGGAAGTAAATGCTGGTGTGGTTGTAAGACAGTTGTACCACACAAACTGTTGCTGCTACTGTTATACTCGTCTACCATATTGAAGAGACACACAATTTGGAAATGTCATTATTTTTGATACATGTTCCCCTCTTTCGACAGATACTTGGATTCTAATTTTTCTAATTTGTGTGTAGGTTAAATTGAATTACAACCAGTCCTAAGGTGGACCTTTTAGGATATGTCATCAATTTTAACCCTTGTTCCTAGAATTTAAAACATCATCGAGAATAGTAAATGTTTTTTTCTTTTTGCTTCAGGAACAAAAGATTTGCCAACGCTATGATCAACTAATGGAAGCTTGGGAGAAGAAGGTAGAACGAATGGAGAACAACCCAAGACGCAAAGCAAAGGAAACCCGAACACGGGAGTACTATGAAAGACAGTTTCCTGAGATCCGAAAGCAAAGAGAGCAACAAGAACGCTTTCAGAGGTAACTAAGTTAACGTGACACCATTCATAAAGCTTTTGTTTCTGTAATACATTTTTGGCACTCACGGTTAGTTTTGCTAAAGTTCTTCACACATTTGAATGCATGGGCAGAATGACACTTACTGTATATCCAATAATTCTATACCGTCTATTCACTTATTGTTGCTCTAATACCAGAGGTGTGGACTCGAGTCTCATGACTTGGACTCGAGTCAGACTCGAGTCATCAATTTGATGACTTTAGACTCGACTTGACAAAATGTAAAGAGACTTGCAACTCGACTTGGACTTTAACATCAATGACTCGTGACTTCACTTGGACTCGAGCCCTTTGACTCGACAAGACTCGATACTTTCTCCAAAACCCAAAGATTATAAAGTAAGTTATTAAGGAGCGCTCTGTATTTCTCATTGTGTACGTGTGTGCGTCTGTGTGTGTATGTGCTGTCGGCACAACATCCAATCAAATTAGACCCACGTTGTTTTGACGCGATAATATCGAGCCAATCAAATTGCGGGACAACCAATGAGAAAGAGCTGTCGAACAATGCGC